CTGTTCATTCTTTTTAAAGGAATCTTGCGCGGAAAAATCATGATTCTATTTCAGCCATAAATCACTGGCTTGAGACTCATTATCCACGATAATAGTGAAAAGAACTGAAGTATTGCTTTCGTTTTGATTAGAAATTCGAAAACTCGAAAAGGCTGCTACGCGTTCGAATTGCCCACGGACGTCTTTCACGAATGCTGGCGACGGGGATGCTCAAACTTGGTTCTTGGAGTGCATTCACTAGAAGCTCTTTCTGGCCTTCTGCTTCGTTGCATTCACATCTTACACTTCTACTCCATCCTATTCCATCGATCGATTTGTCTCCACTCTCCGAAATCGCGCGCTTTAACCCGATTCTCTCATTGCGTCGCCTGGTACGTAGCCGGCCAAACGCCGTCTTCTTTCCATGCCGCCTGGCTCTGCCTCCTGGTCCTTCGATGGTCCATAACGTGTAGTTTTTGTACGTTTGTTTCTCTTCAGAAACCGAATCTTCATGCGTGAAACTTTGTGTGCTATTTCCAGTGATCACAACTGACATATTCATGTTAGGAAAGAGTGCAAGAATTTTCCGCGCAAGATTCCTTAAAGGTAAGCCGATCAACACCGAAGAACGTGCGCAAAAAGGACACCAAGAAAATTGCGATCCTCGTCTTGACCTTAAAAATGGCAAACGATTCGCGATTTCAAGTCAGATCTAATCTCATCTACGTACAAACTCAGCATAGTGGCCAGCAAAACAATTTACATCAGTTTTAGCTCCTCAGCATTGACTACTGGTCGCAGCTTTATTGCAAACTATTTATTTATTTATTTATTTATTTATAACGTCACATAAGGCAGACGCAAGAAAGCACAACACAGTAAAGTATAACAATTCACTTAACTAAGAATAACTCAAAAGAACTTTTTTAGCGAGGCGTTTGAAGTGCATAAAAGCAGGAGAATGTAGTGCTAATTTTGATTTAAGTGAAATGAAAATTGATCCAGCTCTACAGGTGAAGCTGTACAGCTTCATATTGGTTCGAGGCGTTGCGTATGAAATTTTCACAGATCCTCCTCTGGTTCTAGATTCGACCCTAGTGAAGAATTTTGACGCATCAACCCTGGCAAGCCCAGTTAACATCTTGAATACCATGCAAGCATCATATAGTTTTCTACGTGATTTCAAGCTATGTAAATTGAGGCTTTGATTCCTAGAGGTAGGTCGCGGCACTCTAGAGATGTCTACCTGTCCTGACCTAATAAATACTTTTCGTGTATAGTTGTTTTGGATTTTTTCAATTAATTCCTCGTCTTTCTTCTTATGAGGGCAAAAGACTGGCGTACCGCATTCCGCAATTGGCCTAACATATGTTTTGTATGCTCTGATTAAAATTTCTTTGTCATTAACTGTCAAACCCTTAAATATTTGGTATGTTCGGAAAGTAGCTTTCCTCAGGATGGCATCATAATGATCAGAAAAGCCAAGCTTGTTATCATAATGGAATCCTAGATCCTTGACAGTGGTGACTTCGTTGAGAACATGCTCTCCAAGTCGGTAGTCTTTTGACAGTGAAGAATCCCCCAATCTCATAAATACGGTCTTTTCAGGTGCAAGAGGTAGCCTCCATAACTCCGACCAGTGCGACATAGAGTCCAAAGAACTTTGAATACACCTCACATCATCGATACTTTCTATTTTCTTATACACTTTGATGTCATCTGCAAACTGTTTGCAAATAACACCGCATCTCTCCAAAAGCTCAGGCAGCTCGGCTGTATAGATTGCAAAGAGGAGTGGTGATAAAACACCACCTTGAGGGACCCCACTGCCAACTGCCCTAACCTTTGAAAAGACTCCACCAATCCTAACCTGGAACGTTCTCCCTGACAGGAATTTCTCAATCCAACGATAAACTGTAGGATGAAACTTGAGTTGAACTAGCTTAAATAGAAGCTTGGAATGGTCAACTTTATCAAAGGCCTTAGAGAAATCAAAATAGACAACATCACAAGATTTTTTATCGTCAAGATAATTACTCCAATCATTAATACATTCCAGAGATTGGTTTCGACAGACCTACCAGGGACGAACCCATGTTGATTGGCTGGTATAATACCATTTTTTCCACATGCTCCACAATGTGTTCTTTAAGAATCTTCTCGAAAATACGGCAGAAAAAGGAAGTGATACTGACAGGTCTATAATTATTAACCAAGTGGGACGGCACTTTCTTCAGTAACGGCGTAACAAATGAGTGCTTCCACTTGAAGGAACCTCACCGAAACATAGCGACTGATTGAATAAATACGCTAAGGGTTCCGCTACAATATGCGCTATTTTCTTGACAAACAGAGGGGGAATAAAATCAGGAGTAAGTGAGAAGGAGTTGGGCAACTCCTTCAAGAGGGCATAAATTTTCCCGCCGTCAACCCACGGAAAGCTAGACATTGGACTAGTGACTGAGGAAACAAAAGTTGGTAAAGAACCATCTTTATTGGAAAACACTTCACAAAACTTGTCTGCCAAGAAGTTGACTTTGTCCTCATCTGAGGCTGCTATCGCCCCATCCTTTTGGAGGGAAGGGATTTTCTGAGTAGTTTTAATTTTCTTGTTCAGAAGTTTGAAAAAACCTTTCTTATCACCGCTGTTAAGGATCTTCCTCTCGACATACCTATTGTATTTTTTTAACATACCATCGAATCTTTGAGAAAAACAACGGAATTTGTCCCAGTCTCTAACTGATTGAGAGGTCTTCGTATAACAATGGCTATTCATTACAACCAGCAGTGGTTCCTAAAACTGTGGTAATAGATCTGTTATATTCAAAAGTTTGCATGAGCGATGGCCCACTCGATAAGAGTCCAATTTCCCGAGTGTGTTTCCCTCTGTGGCCACTCCTGACGTTGTCTCAGAAAACAAAGTTGTTTTGCCTCTTATGAAGAGAGAATCAGATTAGATTTCACTATGGCAAAGGAGAAGTGGGATCTTCTCTGGGTCTGTCAGAAATGTTAGTACGACTAGAACTTCGAATCAACTGAAGTTGGACAGCAGTTAATGAGTACGTCGGAGCAGAAGCGTGACAGTGAAGTGGCTCCACTCCACTATACTCCGTTTCAGGATCGATCCTGAGGCTCAACCAGCTTCCATATTATGAACTCCTTGCTGGCAGGAAAACCTATCGGAAGGTACACAAAACGAACTACATATTACCAAATTAAGCAAATCATCCCAGACTCTACATGCGCATTTGAAATGAAACGCAATTTTGAATGCAAGTCGAATGCGCGGCGCATCTCAACGAGGGAGGGGTCGCTCAATCCCAAGCGTTTCAGAGGAACATAGGGGGAGCTATGAACAGAACTTAGCTCGAATAGATACTCTGGCCCAATTTTGAATTGTTTTTGTTTATTAACTGCTGTTTTTGGCCGCAGTTCACTTGCGAAAGTTTCGCACAAGATGGGGTATGAAGAAAGCTTTTCGCCCCAGGCGGGACTCGGACCCGCAATCTCGCTTGCCAGGCAACTGCGCTACAAGTGGGGATGCACCAAAAATTCTTGTTCAATAACTCCGAGTACCTCTGTGAAAACTTCCACTAGCTGCGCTGGAACCTGTGCTCTGACAGCGCTTTACAAATCACCACCATTCAACAATGAACTAGCTGAGGACTCACTACCAGTCAGACATTATGATGATGATTCATCAAGTACTTCCAAAGAGTGAGAAACAGAGGAAGGACTTCACAGCACTATGGTACAGACTTCGGTATCGATTCCCAAACAGCAGTTTCGGGCAAGAAAACGCCAAATAGTTTTTCGTTCGAAGATCACTTTTCGTCACTTCTGGGCATTTTGCTTCGGATTTGATTATTCAGGTCTTCTACCTTTTCAACGGGTGAGTTTTGAGAATTCCGAAAAAAAGACGATGCAATACAAGTGGGATGGGTACGCCGTATTTTTTGAATACGGTAGGCGCGAGATGTATGTTCGTATAACTGTAGCCACTACTATGAACTGACGAGTCGTTAAGAAGTAATTCACACATTCCAGCTTTTCACGCATGTCAACTGGCTGTCCCCCCACCAGATTATCTACACTCTTCCTGGCTCACGAATTCCCTCAATTCTCGTGGCGCCACGGTAGCGGGCAGCGTCCCCACCAACCACATTATGAGCGTCATCACTTTATCCAAAATTACCTGTGCCATTCTATTGTATGCAAAAGACAAGTCTCGCACTTTTTTCCATGTTT